GAGGCCATCGGATCCCCAGGAATTGGAGTTACAGACAGTTGTTAGCTGCCATGTGGGTGCTGGGATTCAAACCTGGTTCTTCTGCAAGAACAACCAGTGTTCTTAACTGCTGAGCCATCTCTTCAGCTCCACATCCCTCATATCTTAAGAGCATCACTAATTCCATCATCTCCCTGTTATTCTGAAACATCAGTGATTTCCCCTACCAAATTATGCCTCTATTTACATAGTATGACCTAAAATTGTGCATCTTAAATAACCAAAGCAAACGCAAAATTTTATAAAACACAATAAAATCACAATTTGTTTTATAGTCAAATCCAACATACCTCATTTTTTACTTCTCTGTAAAATTATATATAAATATATGTATCTATGCATCTATCTACATATCCCTCTCTCTCTCTCTCTCTCTCTATATATATATATATATATATTTTTTTTATTAAAGGGGGACTGCATGTGAGATTTTATTAGGGAATACATGACTTGGTGGGCATAGGACCCAGTGCAGAGGGAGTCCTCAGGAGTGGAGGGCCGGCCACCTGTCCAGGGACCGTGTTTGGGAATATATTTGACCTCACAGCCATCAGGAATGAGGTGCTTCTCAGCTGCCCTGTCTTCAAATTCATTTGCATTAAACTTTGTAAAGCCCCACTACTTTGAGATATGTATCTTTTAGTGGCCAGGGAACTTGAACTTGGCTCTATGCAAGGCCTCAAGCACAAGTTCCTTATTCTGCAAGTTGGTACCGATGGACATGATGACATGTCCAATGTGAACCGTGGCCATTGTGCCCTGAGGCTTCCCAAAGGCACCCCTCATACCTGTCTGAAGCCTGTCAGTCCCAGCACAGGACAACATCTTGTTGATTTTGACGACATGGAAAGGGTTGAGCCTCACTCAAATGAAAGCCATCTTTGCCACAACTCTTCACCGTGTGTTTGTTGGCACAAATACAGGCCACCTCCAGGGCTCTGGAGGAGAGCTGCTCATGCTCATCTGACACCATGTGCCACAGAGTTGGAATTCATCAACTTTTACCTTCTTCCATCCCAAATCAAAGATGGGGATCTCGGCATCAGAAACGTCTTGGCAGAAATGAGACTTAGGGTATGGCTTGTTCTTAATACCAGTACCACCGAATCGGGCAGGCACCCTTGATGACAAGAGAATCTACAGTGGCACACCCGGGGAAAAGAGCGAAAGTGGTATTTTTGAGACAGGGTCTCCCTGTAACACCAGCTGGCCTGGAACTTGAACTATGTAGACCAGGCTGGTATGGAACTCACAGAAAGCCACTCGTGTCCAGAGTGCTGGGATTAAAGGCTTGTGCCACCATGCCTGGCTCATAAAATATATTTTACAGATATATGTCATTTCTCAACTATTATTTTTGTTACTTTTTCTACTTCATTGTGAAATGATATTTATTCTGTAACCTTGAAACAGCTATGGTAAAAATAACAACATATATTTTGATCTGATGAGCTCTGTTCTTGGACTCTCCTTTTCTTCATTTTACTTCACTATTTAAATGTTGGTTTACATCTCTCCTCACACATTCTTTGTGACCTTCTTTGTTCTATTACTGTACATATGATCTGAATGTTAACAACCCTAATTTGATGTCTCATTTCAGACCATTCCTATGGATTCAGACTGGCATAGCCAAACATATTTGACACATTTTCTTCTGTGCCTCAGAGTCATCCAAATATATATGTGTATAGTGAAGTTTCTGAGTCAACCCTCTTCTACCAAATCTGTTTTTACTTTCACTTAGGATTTTTCAAATTGTCAGTAAATGTTTCCACCATTCTCCCAGGTGATCAGTTAAGATAAATATGAAATAAGTAACACAAAGCTTGTTGCCATCATTGATTTCTCTTTCCCTTTTTATGTATGAACATTTTAACAAGCATTGGATGTGTTGTCTATAAATAATTCACTGACTGTTCACCTGCTTAGGATGTCATTCCAAAAATCCAAAGATACAGACTAGATGATGCTTCAAGAACACAAATTTTGTCCTAATATTTGAGAGGTTGGGACACCTACTGTCATGACATCTGCATGATAACCTTCTGGTAAGGGACTTCTTCCAGGATAACAGATGGCCACCTGCTTACTGTGTCCTTACAGACTCATACATAGAAAGCTCCTCTCTTCTTAGAGGATCCCCAGTTCTTTTGGATTCAGTTTAAACCTCTTGAAGCCATTTAATTTTAAACTTTTTACAGGCCAAATCTCCACATGCAGTCATGGGGTTTTAGCCCTTCAACATATGAGCCTTGAGGGAGCATGAATCAGTGCATGATGCCATGCTCCTCCATTTCCGGTGTCACCATCTTGCCCTAATCTCCATCTCTGGTCTTGTAGTACTCTTCCAATCATCTTGCTTCTCCAACAATTGCTTCCCTACAATTTATTTTGTTCTGAGAAATTAGAAGGGTCTTTTAAAAATTTAATCATTTCACTTTGTGTCACTGCTTAGAATATCTCAATGGTTTCTCACTGATCTGTAAATAGAAACAAAATCCTTTCACAGTTTCTCTAAGATATGGTATAATTCTTTCCCTCTAGCAATAGCATGACTCTCTTCTTTTTTTCAAGGATTACATTATATATTTTATCACACACCAAAGCTTCCATACCTATTTGGCCTGTACTTACATTGCAATTCTTTCATTCCTTAATATAGTGGCTTCTTCTTAGCTAAAGCATCACCCCATAAGAGAGGTTTTCTTGAGGCTTGAGGGAGGGCTCAGCAGTTAAGAGCACATACTGTACAGAAGACCTGGGTTTGTTTCTCAGCCCTGAGGAGTTAAGTGCCCAGTACTTATGTCGGGTAGCTTGCTTTTTTGATAACCTGCACACGCACGCATATACCTCCACACAGACAGACAAACATACACTCAAATACACACACACACACACACACAACGCACACAGGGACACACAAAGGAGGACACACACACACACACACACACACACACACACACGCACATACACACACAAATGAAACAGTTCTTTGAAACAAATTTTAATGGATCTTTCTTTAATTTCTATATTTACAGTAGCCACCCAGTGACTTTCCTCTAATTAGCACCCCGTTTAGTTTCATCATTACTTATCAAAATAATACAATTTATCTATATCCTTATAATCCCTGTTTCCTTAACTAAATAACTACTCTGAAAGGGGCACAGGAGTTGTGCTGCTATGAGCTAGTTGCATGCTGTCCCCAAGTGGACAAATTGAACAATCTAAATACTAACTACCAAGGTTAACAGGAAAAAAAAAACAACTTACTCCTAGAATAATGAGATAGGCATATCTGGGGATGAATACAAAACTACAAAGCTACATTTTAAGAAGAATTTAAATATCAGATTAAGGAAAATGATTTCGTCAAATGGATACTGTTCTAGTTCTTGAGAACTGAAGATATTCTGTAGAGGGGAAGTACAACACTGCGAAATAAGAAACAGTTCATGGTT